CCGGGCAAGGCATGTGGGATGCCTGGCTCTGACCCCCCACCCCGACTCTGACATTCTCACCTTACTGCCCAGCCTGGGGCCGGGCTCATGGACCCTCCTGTCTGTCCTCCCTCCTGACAGACTCCACCTCGCCTGACCTTGAGTCCCGGCCCATTCTCCCTGCACCCCCAGCCACACTGCCCGCAGGGGTAGCAGAGGCTCAGGAAGGTCCAGAACAGCCTGACAAGGTAAGGTGAGGGCTCAGCAAGGAGGGCTGTGTGTCTCTGGACCCAGACCCTTCTCTAACTGCTTATGGCCTTTTCAGAGTCCTGTTTCTGGTCGGAATAAATCAAAAGGTGAGAGACGTACTTGACTGGCTGGGGGTCCCTGATACGAGCTCTTCAAAGTCTTTCCAGTGTTTGGCAAGACCACCCCTCCCATTTCACACACAGCCTGGGCCTCTCACCAGCTCTGTGACTTTGGGCTCCTCTGATCTTCCATTTCCTCGTCTCTAAAGCGGAAGAGTCAGCCCTGCTTCAGGGAGACACCTCTAACATTTCAAGCACAGAGAATGGGTTCAGAAAGATCAGCTGGGAATGCTGGGGGGGGGCAGGGAGCAGGTTTGGGGGTCCAGGACGCCTCGCCAGCCCCTAACCCCCCGGGCCGTGCCGTGCTCCCGCAGGCGTGGCGACGCGACTGAGTCGCCGGCGGGTGTCGTGCCGGGAGCTGGGCCAGCCGGACTGTGATGGCTGGCTCCTGCTGCGCAAGGCGCCCGGTGGCTTCATGGGCCCGCGCTGGCGCCGCTGCTGGTTTGTGCTCAAGAGACACACGCTCTACTGGTACCGCCAGCCCCAGGTGAGCCCCCCGCCACACGCACGGGGCCGCAGGGGGGTCAGAGCCACGGTTCCTGTCCTTATTCTGCTAGTGCCCCCATCTGTGGTCACAGGCAGCCCCCCGCCCCCCCCCCCCCCCGCCCCCAGCCCTATCTGGAAAACGAGATCGCTCTTTGGAAAGAAACGAATGGAAATGTGCGTGAAAGCAGGCTGAGAAAGGCGTCACGGGCAGTGTGGAGAGTCCCGTTTGCTCTGCCCACCTCCCCTTCCTCTTCTGTTACTCCGTCTAGCCTGCTTATTCGTTCAGTGAGCATGCAGGTGCCTGCTGTGTCCCCAGCTCTGGGCTGCATACTAGGGACATAGGGCAGACTGGGACAGCCCTGCTACTCCAGGCTGGTAGCGGGGAGGATGCGTGCACCCTCAAGGACAGCTTGGGGAACACACGCTATGATGAAGGAAAAGCCCAGGGATGGATAGGAGCCCAGCGGACGTGGACAGTCCAGCCTGGAGTCGAGAAGGCCCCCTGAGAAATCAGTGCCTGGGGGTTAGTCAGATGGAAAGGAGGAAAATACCAGGAAGGGAGAAGAGCGCTTGCAAAGCTCAGGGGTATGGAGCAGTTCCTCTGTCTCTAAAACAGAACAAATGCATAAGCAGTCTTTTCTTTTGTGGCTGTTTTCCTGGATAGCTTTGGCTCCCCTTTCCTGGCTCAGAGGCTCCCTTTGGTCACACCCCCTGCCCCCACCCCAGATTCCTGCCCTGAGCCCTAGGCACTGGGAGATTTGGGGGGAGTTGTTTTTGTTTTTTAAGATTTTGTTTATTTATTTGAGAGAGAATGAGAGAGAGAGAGAGAGAGAGAGCATGAGAGGGGGGAGGGTCAGAGGGAGACTCAGACTCCCCGCTGAGCAGAGAGCCCAGTGCGGAACTCGATCCCAGGACTCCAGGATCATGACCTGAGCCGAAGGCGGTCGCTTCACCTACTGAGCCCCCCAGGTGCCCGGCACTGGGAGATCTGTGGTTGGAGAGCCCAAGAGCCACTCTCTCCCCTCTCTACCCCCAGGAGGCTGACTGGGCCTCCAGGGTAATGGGGCTGCAAGCTGACCCTCACACTGTGATTCCCCCCAGGATGAGAAGGCTGAGGGCCTCATCAATGTTTCCAACTACAGTCTGGAAAGTGGACAGGATCAGAAGAAAAAATAGTTAAGTCCTGGAGTGTGACACACCGGGGGAGTGGGGCAAGAAAGGGAGAGAGAAGAAGTGGGGGGTGGGGGGCAGCAGGTAGCTGCATTCCCAGGGCAGCCTCACGGGTTCTGGATGGGCACAGCCAGGCTGAGTGAGGTGCCCCTGCTCCCCGACAGTGTGTTCCAGCTCACCCATGACGTGTACAAACCCTTCATTTTCGCTGCTGATACCCTGGAGGATCTGAGCATGTGAGTGCCACCCCCTCTGACCCCCCAGCTCCCATGTGAGTGCTTGCGAGCCTGGCTCAGGAACCTAGATTCTGATCCCAGCTCTCTGATAGTAGCTGATCAAGGCGCTCACTTCTCCAAGCCTCCGTTTCATCATCTATAAAATGGGTTAATAAGAGTTCTTAGCTCTCAGAGGTGCTCTGAGGATTAAGTTAGAAGATGATACAGGTGAAAATCCCCTGGCATACAGTAGATGAAAACTGCAAGACCCTTTTGCCCCTCCACAGGTGGGTGCGCCATCTCATTACCTGCATTTCCAAGTACCAGTCTCCAGGGCAGGCCTCCCTGCCCCGAGAGGAAGGTGGGTGTCTCACAGGGGTGGTTCCCACCAGGTCTCAGCTGAGCCTCTGTCTTTCCGGGAATGGGGGCTGGGAGCTCCAATGCTCTAACCTGCTCCCTGGCCTCCCAAAACCCTGTGAGGCTCAGTGGGCTCCCCATGGGCTCCACCCGCCCCACCCACCACCCATCCCCCGCAGACTGCTACAGTGAGACAGAAGCAGAAGACCCTGACGATGAGGCTGGGTCCCGCTCAGCCTCGGTGAGTAGGAGACCGGTGGGGAGCGGATAACAGGCTACAGGGCTCAGAATGATACCCACCTCTCCTTCCACCCTGCCCACAGCCCAGCCCAGCCCAAGTTTGGAGTCCACTCCATGGAGACACGTCACCCACAGCCACCCCCACGCAGGGCAGCCCACGGACTTCCTTTGGCCCACCAACAGGTGTTCTGCTGGGGTTCAGAGCTGAGATGGAGGGTGGGGGGACCAGGGATGGGCACATCCTCATCTGCTTGCCCCTCCCGCAGACACCAGTGAAGGGGCGCTGGAAGGAATGGTGCAGGGGCTGAGGCAGGGTGGCGTGTCCCTCCTGGGCCAGCCGCAGCCCCTCACTCATGAACAGTGGCGGAGCTCTTTCATGCGGCGCAACCGAGACCCCCAGCTCAACGAGCGAGTGCACCGCGTGCGTGCGCTACAGAGCACGCTCAAGGTCAGCGGGAGGGCACCGGGCATGGTGAAGGACGGGGCTCTGGGCTTTTGGTTCTGGTTCCTGGCCCTGAGCTCTGGGCTTAGCTGTGGACTGGGCCAAGTTCTAGGTTCTCAGAGTCAGCCTCGCAATGTGAGGATCAGGGCTAGACTGGGCCAGGTGCTGGGTTCTAAGCCCTGGACTCCAGAGTGAGCTCTGGACTTGGGCTCTGCCCCTCTACCTGGGTGATCATGGCGCCTTAGCCACCGCTCTCTTCACAGGCAAAGCTGCAGGAGCTGCAGGCCTTGGAGGAAGTGCTAGGTGACCCCGAGCTGACGGGAGAGAAGTTCCGACAGTGGAAGGAACAGAACCAAGAGCTTTACTCAGAGAGCCTGGGAGGCTGGGGAGTGGTGCAGGCTGAGGGCCACTCCCAAGTCCTGAGCTCTGACTCCAGAGAACAGTCTTCCCACCCCCTGCCCCCTGACCCTGAGGAGCAGTCCTGTCTCTGCCCCCTGCCCCCAGAGAGCAACCTCCGACCTTCTGACCTCTGACCCTGGTCAGTACCCTGGCTCCTGACCTCTGGCCTTGAGAACCACCTCAGCCCTCAAGCCTCTGACATCTCTAGGACAGAGCACCCCCGGGTTCTGTTCAAGGCTAGAAGTAGTGCTAGTCCCTGTGTCACCCCAGAGGCCCCCCTTTGCCTATGCGTCCACCATTTCTGCTCCTCCCTCCCCTAGAGTGGGGTAAAGTGAAGTGAGCTCTGTGTCATCCTCTCTCGCCAATGAAGGAATGGAAAGCTGGGCTGAAAGAAATTCTCTCCCACATCATCCTCCCAACCGTGGGGGCACAAACCTGTCCCCCTCCATCTCTGGCCCTTCTCCCTTCCCCAAACCAGTCTTGTATAGGTGTTCATTTTACACAAACACTTTCAACAAAATAAAATCAATTTATCTAAAATGAATCTACATGTGCCTTTGACTTCCGTATTAGAACCAGAAATCTGCTCCTGGAGGGGACAAGAATGGAAAGTATAAGAAGGACATGAATGTAACTCGTCTTGGTAACTAGTTAGTCTTGGTAACTAGTGGTTGGCAACTAACTTGGTAACTAGATTGTCTTGGTAACTAGTCCACCATGTGTGCAGACCAGTGGCCTGGGCCCTGTAGCTGAAGTGTATGCCTGTCAGGATGCTGGGTTGCTGATCCATGGCTAGTGAGAGCTTCCAAGTATGCCCATTTCTTCCCAGCCCTTCGGAGACCAGGAGGTGCTCTCCTGCCCCATCCCCAGGGGGCACAAAGAGAAACAGAGACCGGCCTTTCACTCCAGATGGAGACGCACACCTTGCATGGAAGGACAGGCTGGGTAGCCCTGGAGCCTGGGGTCGTGGACGGTGGAGCCGGTGGGGAGGGGTACAGGCTGAGGTTGGCTGGGAGGAGGGCCTCCGGGCCAAGCATCTCTCTTCTCTCCTTCCAGTCTTACCTCCAGCTCCTGGACCCGGAGTAGGGACGTGTCCCTGTGTCTCCATCCAGGCTGCACAAGAGACCTAACCTGCTCCCATCGGCCTCTGACCTCTAACCCCAGCCCAGGTCCTGAATGTCCCTGGCTTCCTCCGTGGGCTACCGAGCGGAGTCAGTGGTATCAGAATTCCCTGGTGGAATGCAGACAGCTGGAGGTCACAGAGTCCTCTATGATATCACCACGAGGGGGAGCAAGACCACTCGGAATGAAGTTTCTTTGACGGGTGGGAGGAGACTGAGAGCTATGCTAGGTAACCAAAACAGCTGGCGGCCCCAATGGACCGACACCAATATTAAACCTTTGAATGTCATGGTAGGTGGCCCCCGCCTCGGTGCACCTAAGCTGGGCATGCCAGGGAGGGGCGGGGCGCGGGGGCCCGTGGCTGCACTGACGGGCCCCCTGCTCACCCTCGCAGAGGGCTGCTCACGAGCCCTATGCCTGGCCGGAGGAGCAAGTGCTCGTCAACCGCCAAGACATCATGAGCACCAAGGTAAGGAGGGGACTGGGGCGGCAGCCTGTAGCAACCCCCACCCCACAGTCACCCTTCTGCAGCTGCTCCCGCGGGCCAGGGGCCACCTCCCCAGCAGTGACCCCTGCAGTGATCCCTCATGGCATGTTAGTACCTGCCTGGCAGTGCTCTCCACAGGAACCCCTAGATAATGACCATCGCTCACCAGCAGAGCCCCTAAGGGTCTCCCTTGCAATGACTCTCGCAAAGATTCCCCAGCAGTCACCCCCTTTCAGTGGCCATTTAGGTAGTGACCCCTACATCAATTCCCCCATTTCAAGACCCCTCTCCGGCAACTTCTCCCCCTAGAGTGGCCCTCCCCTAGGGGCCCCCATTCACTGAGAACAGACGTCCAGGCAGAGGCCTCCCACGGTGACACCTGCCTGAAGGAAGGTCCCCCACCCTCTCCCAGGATGCCTGGGACATCCAGGAGTTCATCACTCGCATGTATGTCAAGCAGCTGCTTCGACACCCGGCCTTCCAGCTGCTTCTGGCCTTGCTGCTGGTGGTCAACGCCATCACCATTGCTCTGCGCACCAACTCCTTCCTTGGCCAGGTGGGACTCCAGCCCAATCTCTGCCCCCGCTGATCTAACAGGGGCCTGGACAAGGCACTTTTCTCTCTGGGCCTCAGGCTCCTCATTTGCTCATGACGATTACACTGAATGTTCTTCAGGGGCCTGTCAGCTCTCACCTTCAAGGAAACTAGAGATCAAGGAAGACTTCATGGTGGAGGGGGCCCAGATGTGAGGAAAGCATTGGATTTGTAGAGAGAGAGGGCAGGAGAAAAATGATGTGAGCAGAGGCAGACAAATGGGTGCCTGGTGGGGGAGGGTATCCCATTTTAATCAATAGTCACTATGAGAAGATCGCTCAGTGCCTGGGTCCTAGGTATGATCACAGCAGACACAAACATGTCATTACGGATGCCTGAGTGTCGTGGAGTGCGTGGGAGCTCAAAGTAGGCATCAAACCTACCTAATCTGTACCGTCAGGGAAGGCTTCCTGGGGAAAAGAATGCTTCAGGTGGGAATAAAGAGTAAGTGGGAGTCAGCCAGGCAGAGAGAGGTGGGAAAGAGTGTTTGGGGGTGGAAGAAACAGCTTGTGAACAAGTTCTGTATGTCCATCTTGAAGTCCAGTATGATTTTGTTCTTATTCTTGATGTTTTAATTTCCTACAAGGAGTATACTTCATACATGAACTGTGCTATTTGAAATTGGTATTTTAAAAATGTCCAGTGCAGTAGCTGATGATTTCAGAGAGGTGGTCAGCAGCTAGCTGGTGGAGGGTCTTTAAGTTATCTTAAGGAGGATGGCCTCTATCCTAGGTCATTGGAAAGCCAGGGAATGGTTTAAAGCATGGAAATAACATGACCAGATAAGTGTTTTAGAAAACTTACACTTCACACAGGGCGAACCACAGAAGGGAGGGTGTCGGGAATGGAAAAAGATGGACCAGGCAGACTGTGTTGTGATGTTCAGTGAAAGATGATGGGGCTTGGACCTGGGCAGGGGCCATGGGTAAAAGAGGTCCCGTGCATCTAAAGCTCTCTAGGAGTCGAATCCATGGGCCTCCTGACTGCTTTTCTTTTTCTTTCTTTCTTTTCTCTCTTTCTCTCTTTCTTTCTTTCTTTCTTTCTTTCTTTCTTTCTTTCTTTCTTTCTTTCTTTCTTTTTCTTTCTTTCTTTCTTTCTTTCTTTCTTTTTCTTTCTTTCTTTCTTTTTCTTTTC